CCGACGCCGGTAACAGATTCGGCCGCCGATTCTTTAGCGAAAGATCTGCAGAACCAAAGTATTGGAGCCGTTGATGAAAGTGGTCAGATTAAAAGGAAGCTCGAAGATTTTAATTGGGACCATTCCTTTGTTAAGGAATTGCCTGGTGATCCTAGAACCGATGTTATCTCGCGTGAGGTAAAAATTTTGTTTTGTGTGTTTTAATCATAGTAGGAATCTTGATATGTTTTTTTGATGTGGTTTTAATATGGAATCATGAATTTGATATGTATACTTGTTGGTAGAGTGGATTGTACTCTGGTTTAAGATTTGAATCTTGTGCTTATTGCTCATTTTGAAGCTACAAAATTGTAAATTCTCTGCCTTTGTGTTGATAGAGCATACTTGTTTGTATGATTAATTGATGATTACACGAATTTTCGGAATACTATCTGTGAATCTGCCTGTTTCTTTGTGTGAATTTCCCATCAAGATAATTAAATCGGGCATTCGGATTTTGATGGTTTATTTAATGTGCAGGTATTGCATGCTTGTTATACAAAAGTCTCTCCTTCAGTAGAAGTAGATGATCCTCAGCTTGTAGCATGGTCTGATTCTGTTGCAGAGCTATTGGATCTGGATCCTAAAGAGTAAGTTAATTTCTGTCTGGTCACAAGCTAATTTGCTTTTCACAGGATTCTAAAAAAATAGCAAGTAGATGAGCAATTTCGTTATCATGTCGTCTTTACGTTTCTTCAAAAGAAGTTGGCGCCTTTGGTTCACTTCTGTCTCATATAATATTAATTTGGGAAAGATAAAATTCTTAAAAGAGTTTTAGATCTTTATATCGGTTGCCATTTCAAAATCTTGTGACTTGTTTTAATTCTTGCCAAATTTCTGTTGATTTTCAGATTTGAGAGGCCAGATTTTCCTCTCCTACTGTCTGGTGCCAAACCTTTGCCAGGAGCGTAAGTATTCCTTACTCAAATCTGATTTTAGGTTAAATCCAAAGTTTCCGAGTCCAATTATCGATACTCGTTTTCTACAGAATGCCTTATGCTCAATGCTATGGAGGACACCAGTTTGGCATGTGGGCTGGACAACTAGGTGATGGTCGTGCCATAACTCTTGGGGAAGTTTTGAACTCCAAAGGTGAAAGATGGGAACTTCAGCTTAAAGGTGCGGGTAGGACTCCGTATAGCCGTTTTGCTGATGGGCTTGCAGTGCTCCGTAGTAGCATCAGGGAGTTCCTTTGCAGTGAAAGTATGCATTTTTTGGGAATCCCTACCACACGTGCCCTTTGTCTTCTCACAACAGGTCAAGATGTCACTCGAGACATGTTTTATGAGTATGTCTAAAATCTTCCAACCTCTGTCTAACATGTTCCTTTGTTATGTTCCTCCTCTGTTTTATAAGTTCATGTCTCCGTCAAGTTTAAAAGAGAAATTTGGCTTTTAGGTGGCTGACTGCTCCTACCGTTTTGTGTTTGTTTGCAGCGGCAATGCTAAGGAAGAACCTGGCGCAATTGTTTGCAGGGTTTCTCAGTCATTTCTTCGCTTCGGATCATACCAAATACATGCATCTAGAGGAAAAGAGGATCTTGATATCGTTAGGAAGTTGGCAGACTATGCCATTAGACATCATTTCCCGCATATAGAGAGCATGGACAGAAGCGATAGCTTATCTTTCAAAACCGGCGACGAAGATGATTCTGTTGTGGATCTCACCTCGAACAAGTATGCAGGTAATATCCTAGTGAAGTCAGAAGTATTCATCAAAATGCTTCCTGAGATGCCATTATTTTCTTTTTTGATGATACTTTTGGTATTTTAGATTATGTTATGGCCAATATTGAACTAACTCTTCTGATTTTTTAATTTATTAGCATGGATTGTTGAAATTGCTGAGCGTACAGCTACCTTAGTTGCAAGATGGCAAGGTGTTGGTTTCACCCATGGTGTGCTCAACACTGACAATATGAGCATTTTGGGTCAAACCATTGACTATGGTCCATTTGGGTTCTTGGATGCGTTTGATCCGAGTTACACCCCAAACACGACAGATCTCCCCGGAAGAAGATACTGTTTTGCAAATCAGCCTGACATCGGCCTGTGGAATATTGCTCAATTTGTTAAGACTCTAGCCGTTGCTCAGCTGATAAATGAAAAGGAGGCGAATTATGCCATGGAGAGGTAGCTTTATTTTCCACTATTAATTTGGAACACTATTCTTGATTCTATTTTAGGAATTACTAAGTAGTTGAGGGACTTGCGACTCAGGTATGGTGAAAAATTCATGGATGATTATCAAGCCATAATGTCAAAGAAGCTTGGTCTTTCCAAGTATAACAAGGAGCTGATTAGTAAACTCCTAAACAATATGGCTGTTGATAAAGTTGATTACACAAACTTCTTCCGGCTTCTTTCAACTGTTAAAGCAAACCCCAACACACCTGAAAATGAGTTACTGAAACCCTTGAAGGCCGTGCTTTTGGACATTGGAAAGGAAAGAAAAGAAGCCTGGATCAAATGGATGCGAAGCTATATACAGGAGGTATCAAATTCTTTTCTCACAAATTTTTTTCCAAAGATTCCGTTTTCGATTCGGTGTTATTCCTTGCATCTTCCTGGCTGATGCAACTCGTGATATATGTGGAAATTGCAGGTGGGTGGTGGTGAGATATCAGATGAAGAAAGAAAAGCAAGAATGGATTCAGTGAACCCGAAGTACATTCTGAGGAACTATCTGTGCCAGAGCGCAATAGATGCAGCTGAACAAGGCGATTTCTCAGAGGTGAACAACTTGATCCGTCTAATGAAACGGCCTTACGAGGATCAGCCCGGGATGGAGAAATATGCTCGGTTGCCTCCAGCGTGGGCTTACAGGCCAGGCGTCTGCATGCTTTCTTGCTCCTCCTAGTTCTCCTTCCTACTTTCGTTTTGCCATTATAGAAAGGAAGAGGAAAATGTAAAACCACTCATATATATTTATGGTTGTAATGCATTAAAGTGACAAGAAAAAGCTTTGGTATTTCCACTATTTTGTTTTTATATTGAATAAAGTTTTGAGTACATAAACAAAGCTCAGTTTTTCTACATGTAAAAGTGAGGTTAACATTTTATTTATAAACAGACTCCATTGTGTTTTTCCTTATGCTCTTACTATTTCAAACAATGCGTTCCCTGATTAGCTTGTTCTTACACGGTAACCTTGATATGGAATTAACGAGAAAGTGACCATTAAACAACCTTGGATAAACTTCTTTCATATCTCATCATTCAAGAACAAGGCTCGAATCGAGTTTAGTAAATTTGTTTAGTGGCAAATTCAGAAACAGATGCTGACTGAGGAAATTCCAGAATGCAGCCTTCAAGCGCCAACCCGCAAAGTCATCTGAGCTTCACCTCAAACTCAAGCTTCAGAGCTCACATTCTAGAAACGGAGAGAATCACAGAACATTGTCAAAACCAAAAATAGAAGATCTCAGAAAAAGCTAAAAACATTTTGTGTTGTACCTCTCGATAGCACGAGGGCTAATGGGAACAACACCAGAAGGTGTCACAAGGGCATCGATCAGAACATCATTCGGTGTTACAGGAATACTTCCATCCTCAAGAATCTGAGGTGAGTATGACAATGCAACTGCAATGGCAGAAAAAAAACAGTGATTAGCTTATCTTTCTGTTGAAAACATTCTGTGGTATCAATTTGAATGTCATCTATACCCATAAGTGGATTACTCCAGTCCTTCTCCTTTGCACGGTCCTCGTATCTCTTCAAGAAAGTGTCGTAGTAGCTTTTTCCCAGAATCGTTATCCATATAAACAAGTAGAAGGAGTTAGATTAGAGTATGACAAAGCAGTTCTAATTGCAAGTCTGAAACTACATTCCTTGGGGATGGCACGATTTCATGTTGTGACAAAAGGTAGGAGAAGATGTGAAACTTAGATTGTGTGATCTCTTAAACATGTAATACAACGGCAGAAAATTCTTGACATTACCTTTAGTATGAATCTATAGCACAATGATGAAAAGAAAACTTGGGGTCAATGCAAACTTACCCACCCCCACGACCTAAACGTCGCCCACATCTGTCAAACGCAAGACCTGACCACAAGATTTTGAAGACAAAGAATGATTAGATACAGAAATACGGAACAAAAAAAATGGAAATGAGACAGATTCTCCATACCTGGCAAGATGAATAGATCGATCGGTTCATCTGCTTGCATCACTGTCAATAGAAAGAAACATATTAATTTCAAGAGAGCGGGCTTATACTCAATATACGTGAAGCTTATAGTGGTGGCGACATAGAAGATTAAGGACACTACCATCTTCACGCTCATTCCCTTGAGCATCAACTGAAGCTGGTTCCAAAATGTTCATAGAGTTTGCAATAAGGTCATCCATACGAGATATGTGCAGCATACACATGTTACTGTTCTTATCCTCCACACGAGGGACATATAGCTTCTTCTGTGCCATTGTATTTGAATCTGGATAAGAAAAAATGCAGAGGAAACTCAGCGCACATTCCTTTAAAACACTGGAGAAACATTGGGAAAAATCCTAACAAAGCCAACATTATGATGACTGAAATCCGAGAGACATGACAGGAATCAATTCGTTCGAAAAGCTAACATAATGATGACTGATAAGTCTTTATAAAGAAGAATAGATTCTTAATTAGCATAAATAGCTGATCAAACAGTCCTACAGAGTTTGCTTGGGCTCTAGATTTCACCCCTAGAGTAATTTTTAAGGTTATTTGGTTTGGTTTGTTCTTGATTTCTAAAACTTATCAGATCCTCCTGTGATTGAGATACGAGCAAATTGCATTGAGGAAACTAAGATCCTTGCATTGAAAGTGGAATCAATAGCATACACAGAGATGAAGGCAAATAATCATTCAAGTGAAAAGGGCTTCCTTTTTCAGTTCTGACTGGTACAAATGAGAACTCAACATTCAAAAAAGGATTGGGACAAAAAGAGCAGAGTACCAGGATGATTCAGAATTTCAGACAAGATTTTAGAAGTGTCGACTTCATTGAGAGACTTGCAGCTAATGTAAGCACACAATCTCCGACATGATTTGAACCAAGGAGCTTCAAGAACAGTGTTTTGAATGGCCTCGTCTACAATCAATCAATCAATGTAAAACACAAATTAAGAGTTGCTCTAAAGACATTGAAGAAATGAGGGGAACCAGAGTAAAAGATTGAACCTTGTTGAGTTCGGAGAGAAGGGTCCATGGCTTTTAGGGATTTGCGCACAGTAGAACGCACGACCCGTTTCTGCATGAAAATGGAATCGAGTTCCTCTTGGCTTTTGGTGGTAGTGGTGCTCATGGCGACGATGGATCTAGGTACGGGTGATAATCTGGAAACGGGTCGGGTCGGGATCTTGGGGAAGCAGAAGATTGATGATCTCTGTAGTGTTGTCGTGATACAAAAGACGCGAGCTCCAATCATTACAAGCTCCCGTGGAAACAAATGTTATTGGTACCATAGTTAAAAGATAAGCGAAAAATGGTTACTTTTGTTTTGTTTTTCCTATTGTCGAAGTTTAGACAGACTCGCACTATAAATTTGTGAAAGAAATTTTATGTTAGACTACAAAATGTAGACGAAAATCTCCAATGAAGTACCGTGACGACTCTGCAAATGGTAGTGATGCAAATTGTGTGTTACTCAATTGTTGTCAAGAAAGGACCCTCTTGTCTTGGAGAAAACCGTGGCTTTTGCGAGTGTGGATTTCACTAGACCAAGGGAGTTATTCGACCTGACCACTATGCTGTAGCTTTTTCGAGTGGGCGGGCTACAACAAGAAACTAAGCTTCTTCTGATGGAAATTGATCCCCACGTCAGATCCTTATACAAACTCTTAGTACAGTTTAGGATTGCACATTACAGAAGAGAGTTGATAAGCCCTTAAAGTCATTTGTAAGGAAGAGATTGAGGAACAAATCAGGCTGATCAAGGAGAAGAGGATCAGTTTGTTAGTTGTTGAGCTGGCAGAGAANGAGTGGATAAGAANAAAACAGTTATATGGGTGNTTATAGTCGTTGAGATGATAGGAGAGTTGACCAANGTTGACTAGTTGGAGTTGGGAAGAAGCCTCTACTATATATAGAGGGTTAGGAGAAATATCTCACTATGGATTTTCTTGTAAAGGAGTACAGTTGTATTGTTTCGGTTGGTTAATAAGAATCACGTTTTCTCTCTCTTTACAACGAAACTCTATCAAATTGGTGCGGTGAGCAGTCTGCGATGCCTCAGAGGAAAGCNTCGACCCAAATCGTCGGAACNGAATCATCNGAACCCGATCTAGCCGATCGAGTCGAAGAGATCGCCGGAAAGCTCGAGTCCTCGAACATGGAGACGAAGAAGCGTCTCGATTCGGTGGAAGCGACGCTCAAGGAGCTTCTGAATCTCGTGAAGGCTGGGAACNGTGTTACGGAGACTCCGATCGAGCAANGAAGAGAAGCAGATGTGTCGTCGGAGCAAATTA